AACCCCTAAACCCCTAAACAGGAACAGAGCTCAAAGGGCTTCCTCCCGACGCCGGCGCGCGCGGGCCCGCAGGGAGGTGCCTGGGCGGTTTCTGACATTTACCCTTTAAGGGAACCCTAGTTTGGTAATTTAGAACCCTCTATATTTTAAGGGAACCCATATTTTAGGAATAGTATATATTTTAAGGGAACCCTATATTTTGGTAATTTAGAAACCTATATATTTTAACGGGACCCTATTCTGGAGACATTTAGAAGCCAAAAGTACCGTTTCATGGGGCCAATATTTTAGTAATTTGGAACCGTATATTACCGAGCCCTTTTAAGGGGACCCCTATCTTAGAAGTCTGTAGTACCTTGAAGGGCCCAAAGGACCCACTACTTATGTACGTGGGTTTAGGATGGTAGTACCGTGGGTCGGTATTTGGAGGGGGAGAATGTGACTATGCCGGTACTGGGACCCTTTCGGTTGGGGTTTTCCTGGCTTTTGAGGCTGAAGGGCTTCAGAGTGTGGCTTTAGGGGTTTACGGAAAGCTCTTTGAGCAATGATTCTGGATTTGATCTCATCGTTAGGCTTCAGAGTCAGGGCGGTGATCTATGTTCTTACCTGTTGACTCTACTACTCTTACGGGTCTTGACTTCGGTGGCTCCGGTTGCTGCTTCAGCAGGTCTAAGTCCAAAACTGACTATAAGCCATAAGACACCCTAAACCCCTAAACCTCTAAAGCGGAGTGGGTTCGTATAAACCTACACCCTAAACCCTTGAACTACTCTAAACTACTCAACCCTAAATCCTAAACCCTAAACCCCAAACCCTAAACCTCCTAAAGCGGAGTGGGTTTGTAGGTGGCTTGCAGATCCTTGGCTGCAGCATTTTCGGAGAAGCATCGAGATTGGACCTGGCTTTGCCCGACTTCTTCGACCATAAATCCGAAACCCTATAAATCCTAGGGTTTAGGATTTGGGGCTTAGAGTTTAGGGTCTTAGGGTTTAGGGTTTAGAATTTAGGGTTCATGGTTTACAGTTGAGGCTTTATGGTGTAAGGTTTAAGGTGTAGGTTTAAGCTTACCAAATCCTAAACCCCAAACCCCCCAAGCTCCCCCCCGAAGGAGGACCTGCATCGGGCGCGGGTGGCAACAATGTCTGCCCCAAGACCCAGCGTTGGAATCCGACGGTTTTGGGTTTTGGGGTTTTTGGGTTTCGGATTAAGGGTTTAGGGTTTGGTGTTTTGGGTTTGAGGTTTAGGGGTGAGGGTTTGGGGTCTCTACAGTTGTCGAGCGAATTTCGAACACTGGCTCTTCAA